AAAACATTGACGCTGTGCAAAAACTCGTAATACAAGATTGTCATGCAACATACTGTGAGATTGAGGTTTAGGTGGAACCCTAGGCATTAATTTCACCATCATATGTAAAGTACTTCGCTATTATTTATCCATGAGAAAGGTTTGTTTTCATTGGATCCCATCCCCCATCATTTGACAAAATCTCAAGAAGATGCTCGAGTCGATTGGCACACCCTGCACATAAATGCTCAAGAAGTACAATGCGGTGCTTCAAAAGACGTATACGAGTATAAGATTGTAGCAGATGAAAAATCATAGATACAAATATATGCGTATGAGCCGGAACATAAGTTATTCGCGCTCAAAGCACTTCGTAACAAATGGTCGCTTGTTTTTTCGAGAAAACTAGTTATGTGGCAACTATACGAGTACCAAATAATTGGTCCGTCAATTCTATATGGTTGTGTAGCGTTTAACAAAACCTCAAACACCACTATTCGCTAGCTAACTTTTTCAAAGTACCATGGTATATTAGGACGAAGGACATCCTCAGGGACCTCAAGATTAATCCCATCAAAAAATACATGAAGAATAGAGACCTGAAACTATTTGCGAAAACTCACAGACTTACCAACACCGCGTTATTAAATCTCAGAATAGTTACAGGCTCCTCGGGGAGGTATGTAGATTTGAGATCAATTATTGCTTAGTCTGATGAAGTGATAAACAATAATCCAGTGAAGGCGTAAAGAGGGGTTTTAAAAATACCTCAAGTTAAAAAGAGTAAGAGTAAACAAAGAGTAAAAGTGCTCAAGTGCACTGGTTCAAATAGCTTCAACATAATAATAAAATACGAGTACTGGAGTGCAAAACAATAAATTCCAAATAGTATGTAACCACTTGTTTACCGGAAGTCTTCAGTGAAATACAGAAAGCAAACAAGCGCTGTCAGATTATTCTCCATCTCCATCAAGACAATGCGAGTGCTCACACATCTCATCTAAGAACCGCCTATTTGAATATTCAAAAACAACAAATTGATGGGTCATCCGCCGTACAGTCTGGATACTAACTTGGTGCTCAATGACTTCTTGTTCCCGAACGTTAAGAATAAATTGCATGGACAACGATTTTTGTCGGAGGAAGAAGCAAAAGCTGTTAAAAAAAAAACTGAAAGTCACACATGTGGGTTCCTTTTAGTCACAGAAGCTTTTTATCTGTCTTTGATGATCTTTATGTTTACTCGGATTTAACTTTGCCAGGTCTGATAATCGGGAAATAATATCTTTACATGTTATGTAGTATTTAAGTAAGGCTATAGAGCTATGAAGTCTTTTAAGCAGCTATTCAAAGAAAACCTTTGCAAATAATATCGAAGCAGCGCCGTATAATGTGGTCACGTTTGACGCCACCTGACGTGAAAAAATTCAGTAAACAAACTGCCGGGTATTTTATCTTAAATGGAGTAATGAACTTAAGTCTTGGACAGATATAGCTTCAAAGTTTCAGTCAATATTTGATGATGTTGTTTATATAGTAGTAGCAGGTGTGTATTTTAACGGCATAGAATATTTTATTCTATTTTCATTTGCTGACGAACCAATAGAGAAACACTAGAGATCTGGTAAACATAGGGGCATACTCAATCTATTCGATAGCAATCCTAGAATATAATCCATATCGACTGCCGAGATGTGAGCTTGTGTTTTGTTTAGGTGATGTTTTTCGATAATTAATAAATGACTTAATTATTTATATAATAATACGTATTTACTTTCTCAATATTGATAAAACTACAATCTTTCTGTTTTTTAACTGAGGTTTTTTAACTTAAGTTTTAAAAGATTTCTTGTACTTAATTCTTCACACATCTTTAAAAAGTGGTTCATCAAAAGACCACCGTTGGGTTAGCAAGCTGACTTTTATTCTACTAACATTCAATACTATTTCACAATAGCGATAGTTATGGGATCTCTGGAATGGTCTCAATTCATTCATTTGGTCTTTCACTACTCCACACAATGGCGAGATGCCCTCATTAAACTAATCATTTCAAAATTTTGCAAGAGCGCATTAGAATTAAATTAAAAAAATAATTATAGCAGTAAAATCAACTAATAATTTCTAAAGTTGTACTATTCTTTTATTGAGGATATGTCTACCATATTATAAACGGATATACGACAGTTAACTTCAAAATGATTCTTTTGCAATGTTAATAGTAAAATTTTGTAATACTCAATAATAAAAACGATGTCGCAATTGGTCATTCGGGCTAGGAAGATTCAAAGTCCTTGGAATATCATCCTAATCAGAGCCACTGATAACAATTCTACAGTACATCAGTATAAAATCATAATTACATTTAAGTAAAGTTTTTTAGGTTATATTGGGGTCTGAAAACATAAACAATTACTTTACGTGTTTTATGAGGATTGGGTGTCAAAGATATAATCACTTAATTTTTTTTGGAAATATGAATTTAGCGATACATGATAAGCTTAAACGTAGGTGCTAAAAGTACTGAGACACTCTTTTGTTTTAATGCATACATACGCGAGGGAAACTGTAAACGATCTTTAGGTGGAACAACAGTATTAGTATAGACAATAGACTAATATTAACCAAGAAACATAATTCCCATAATAACAGAAGATATAGTTATATATAAAAGCGGTAAACTTTTATATGACTGTCAAATTGTATTCATTATTTATGCATTAGGACTGTGTAATAAGAGAAAAATTATATTTTAAATTCGGAAATAAGCTGGGAACCCTGACTTTCACTTGGTGGGTACGTCACATCTGGTGAAGTGAAAATCAAAAATAAAATTTAGAAAGACCACTGCGTCTACAAAATATTACGGTGTGGTATGGTATTTGGTCTGGAGGTGATATAGGCACGTACTTTTTTAAATATGATCGTAAGAGCTACATAATTCTGTGAAATTAAAGATATAGATATGAAAAATATGTGGTTTCACCATAGCGTTGCCAAAAGCCATACAACACGTTCTGTTTTGGATTTGTTGTTAAGGACGTAAAGCTTCTGGATTTAAAGTTCGCCAAATAGAGACAACGCGATTTGTCACCATTACACATTTTTTAGTGTTAAACTATACATAGAGTGCTGTTTAGGTATACAATCCTCAGAGTTTTAACATTTTGAAAATTAATACCAATTTCTCTTCAAGTTATGATCGAGCTATTGCCCGCTATGTGTCGAAATTTCAACGATTATAACCTAAAAAGGATCCAGTACTCTAAAGTATCCCATAGAGAAAAGTTTAATGCTGATTTATTTCACAACTAATCTGAAGTTGATTCGACATCTGAATCACATTCACTTTACATTCAGAATAAAACCGAACTAAACCATATATACATATTCTTGCTTCATATAAAATTAATATATATGAAAGAATCATTATATAGGAAAACAATAGATCTTAACACTGCACTGCTATATCTTACCTCCATAATAATAATAGTGAGATATCGTGAAATACGTAATTTTTTTTATAATCGCTGTGTTTTTTTTTATATATACTTATAATAATTTAATTGTTGTATTAATTATGTACATGACATTAATTATGTCTACATATATATATATATATATATATATATATATATATATGTATGGGTAGGTAGAACAAGATAATCAGGGGAATATATTTATATGGCTAAGTGACAGTTCAAAACTAATCACAGAGATAATAATAAATTGTGATTAAAAAAAACTATATGTGTGGCTTTATATTTATCTGTCGGTCTATTTATATGTCTGACTATTAATACGTAAACTAGACTCTGATGTCTTCGACTATATGAAAGTACTTTTCCATATAAACTTATAAAAAATCCAGACTATTTAAGTTGGCAGATAGTTGAAGCGCACATATAAAATTACTCTCAAAAGGAATCTAATATATATATACATGCATTATGCAATATGTTTGCAATTTTTTAATGTATGGATGAAAAAAGTGAACAATTGATTTACAACAAAATAACTTGTATGAAAGTAACTAAGCGAAACCTAACTCTTTCGTTTATAGCACACATATATTGTACAACCTCGTTTGATATAGTATCTTCGATTCATAGTAATTTCTAGAACTCGTCAAGATTTTTCTATACCTCACAACAATATAATTTTGATTCCTCGAGTTAAAGGCCTAAGTCAACGTTATATATATATATAGAGACTTTCCTATACTGAGTTAACTATACATTAACCTCTGCCACTGAAAACCACAAGCAATTTCTCGGATTATGTTCAATTATCATAGTATCATGGTATTTCTTAAATATCTTAAATATATTTAATTCTTAATTGCCCAAATCATATATTCATATATATGATGATTGTTATATGCAATGGCAGACAATAGTATATGTAATCAAAAATATAACAATACTATCAATTATCAGAGCTACATAGTTAACTTTTTCGAATGATGGATTCTTAGCAAAATTATCTGTAACTTATTAAAAGTCATATTCACAAAAATGAATAGTATCATGTGGGTTTTGAACTTGGGTGTACGCTTCCGACAATAAGAACCAACAATCAATCAATGAATCAAATGAAAAAAATATTTTTATTTGAAGTCCATTTTACAATGGCAAGAAAAACTTGTTAGTTAGTCTAAAAAGATGATTGGCTTCTTAAGAAACTAGATAAAAAATATATTGTTCTTATATAGCGTTGTGATGTCTTTAAAATACACATTATTTGCAATAATAATTGGTTCTATTCTAGATATATATAATTGTAGTAAGAAGTACTCATCAAGAAAAAACAAAAAACGAAAAAAATATAATAGAAAGCAGTGATATTCTACTTTGAAATCGTATATAGCTATTTTGATAATCCAAGATTAGACAACCCTTACTCTTGTCAGATTTTTTTTCAAATTTTTAATGATGTGAAAACAGTAGGTCAAAATATTTTTATATAAATCACTTCATCTGAGACACCCCCCTAAAATATGGAGGGGTCTGACAACTTACCCCGCGTTTAGTGCCTGCCGGTAGATCTCAAGCATCAGGGCTTCGTGCAACATTTTGTAGTTTTCTTGAATTTTGGCGGTTGCTAGTTTTGGTTAAAGCAAAATTTAATTTAATTAAAATATATTACTAATTTGATAATTAAGTAATATTTAATTTTTAGCTCTTTGTTTTAATTTATTAATTTGCTTAGTTTTGCTTAAAGTAAATTTTGGAAATTTGACACTTAATTAAATTTTATTTATAAACTAATTGTAATTAATAACTTTTTCCATTTGTTTAGGATTTATTTATTTATATATACATATATATTTATCTATATACAAACATATATATACATATATATATATATATAATTTGCACTGCGTACTTCGTATAATTAATTTATTAATTTTATTTTATTTTTTTATTTGTTAGCGTTGAGCCTCGTATAACTTGGATTTTTGTTCTCAAGAATAATTTTTATATATATGTATATTATATTTTTAGTTAAATAAAATATTTCATATCTCGTTTTTTTTTAAATTTATGGAGTAATTTTGAAAACTTTTTTTTAATAATTTTAATAATAAAATATGTTTTAACTTTTTTTTTGCTTAATTTAAAATTAAATAATAATTGCAATGTATCGTATACTTGGTTTGTTTATGTTGTTGTTGTTGTAGCTGAATTTTATATTATTTTTACAATAACAATTATGGGTTTATATTGGAATTATTGTAGATTTGTATTAAAAATTTCCTTAGCATGAGCAATTTTATTATTTATCATATATATATGCATATATCTATGCAATAGTTTATATTGTTTTTTTGTTCTTTTTTTTTGTTTTTTATTTTGTATATATAGTAACGAAAAAGAGTTTTTTCAATAAATTTAAAAAGTTTAGGTAAATAATTTATATTTTTGTTTTTAATTAATTTAATTTGTATTACAAGTTAGTATTTTTGTGCTGAGTTTTACGTATACTTCGTTTACAGTGTTTGTTTTTTTTTCTTTTGTTTTTGTTAAATAATTAAATATTTTTAATTAATATTTTATTTAAGTTATAATTTTTGTTGCAATTAATCAGTCTTGGTTTTAAGTAAATGTGTAAACGTGCTTCTTTATAATTAATTTTATAATAGCATTTTTGTTATTTTTTTTTTTTTTAAATTTTTAACGCCCACAAAAATTAAAGTTCATTATTTAGTAGATTTTCATTGAAAATATTTCTGCTGACTAGATATGATTTTTATTTAATATTTTTTGCGAGTTTTAATTTAATTATTTAAACTGTTTAATTTATTATAATTTATATTATATATATCACACTTTTCATTTGAATTTATTAAATTATAATTAAAACAAAGTAATTAAAACATTTCAGTAACGCACACCATTTGCATTCCATATTAAAATTTTTGAAATATTATTTAAAAAAATTATACACGATTTTGTATTTTCTGCTTTTCATTTGAAATTAATTATTAATTATTTATTAATTTATTAATTATGAATTATTCGATATTTTGTATAAGTTTTGTGTATATTTTGTGAAATGCTTAATATTTTCTTCATTCAATGAAATGTACAATTTCATAAAGTTCTTTCGTCGCAAGCGCTTTTTGCTGATTCCGTCGTTACCCGTTTGAGAGTCGAACAGAGAATGATGCCGTCACTTATTCACGTTACTTTGCTGCCTGCCATTCGACTACTCTCGATTTGTGTGTGAACTGCTGCTGTCAAACTGATTCAGTCAGAATCGGAAAACGAAACAACAACAAACACTAACAAACACCAACAAACACCAAACACCAAAAAAATAAAGTACGACAATGCAAACAACAACAATAACAACAAGAAGAAGTATAACAACGGCAAAATAACAGCCGAAGTAGCAGCAGCAGCAGCAGCAGCAGCAGAAGTAATATTAATACCAAAAATTCTGATTGATACTGAAGAAAAACGTGAAGTTCAGCGTGAGTGAAGTAGCGTTCGTACTTTTTGTTTTTGCTGCTGTTGTTGTTTTTGTGTGCTGTGCGATTTGGCTGCGACGTCAGCGGCAGCAGCGACAGCAGTGACAGTAGTAATGGAGTTATTTGTTGGTGGTGGGTGTCGTTTTTGGCCTTTTTCCTTTCTTTTTCTTTTTCTTTTTCGTTTATGTTATGTTATTATGTTATGTTTTATATTTTATATGTAAAAAAATTCTATGTTGATTTTCACGCGTGTAAAACGAATAGCATTTGTTGGCCGACGCAATTTCTACTTGGTAACGTAACCGCACATCCGTCCGTGCTGTCGAACGTTCGCGCTAAATCTGTGGGTTATGCGTGACGCCCAACGAGCACGAAGCGCGTAACGTTCCAACGTTTGAAGCATTGTCGTTGTTGTTGATGCTTGCCTCTCTGCTGTGTAGCTGTTGCTGTCGTGTTGTCGTGCTGTCGTGTTGTTGTTGTTATTATTTGTTTTGATTATTGTTTGATTATTGCGCGTACTCCAAAGAATTTTTCACACAAAACGCTTTGATTGATAAAAAAAAGGAGCAGAAAATCATTTCATCAAATGAAACAAAGAAGAAGTGAAATGAAATGAAATACAAAACAGCTAAACAAACGAAAATTAATAGAAAAATTGTCTCTTAAATTTACATTGTGGCAGCAGCTCAATGTACAGTGTCTGATAATGTAAAAGCAAACTGTTGCTGTTAAGCTAAAACACTGTACTGTAAAGGATAACGAAATGTTAGTGAAAATTTTAAAATTGTAATTAAATTTAATTTTTTTAAAAGCAAAATACTTTTTGTTATTTGTACTAAAAATCACTTCAATTTCAGACTTTCACTGCAAAAAAAAAAAAAAACTCAACACTCACTGTTAAAACAAAAGAACCTGAACAGCTGCAATCGTTAAATCCTATTAGAATTTTTTGGAATATCTGATAGTAAAGTTAACAGCAGAATGATTGAAAGACCGAACATCAATCAAATAAATCGAAGATGGTAGGTGTTCGTTTTGCTCCTATATGCTTTATTGTAGAAGCGAAGATAGTCGCGTCTTGGATTTTCTGTCTTTAAGGGAGATCTTCAGGTAAAGCATATGGTCGGGATATCTTATCCGTGGTATGATAACGGGCCATTATTTGAGCTTAAGTGGGCTTTGCTATATAAGACCATCACTCCAATCTAACATAATCAAGATGTGATAAAGTTAGAGACAAAGTTGCAAGAAACGGAGTAAAACTTTTCCCCAGAAAAATAAACTGTTTTTAGTTGACTAGGTGAGCGTTTCCTAATCATCGGTGGCTAGACTTGCATCACTGGTTCAAAATGTGTTAAATATTTTTCTTAATATTTGAATTTTTCTCATTAGAATATGACTTACATGTTTTTATATTATATTCTTCTATTAATATTATTGATAACCATCCAACATAAGTTAATTCCTCTAAAATGCACATATTAATACAGCTTTCTGTTAACAGCTCATCTAAAACATTGCATTGTAAGCAAAACTATCTTTATATCATTTTCCTTAGATTTAAGAGAAATATTTTCAAATATGTTACGATAACAGCACTGTACACCAATACTTAACAGCTGCTGCGTCAATAAATTAATGTTAATTGCACTGTTACTAGGCGCACGCAAGCGCCTTAACTCATAAAACATATAGAAGAGTACATTACTTTTAAAAGTATATTATAAAGGGAATTGCACTGTTTTTAAAATGTTAATAAAATACTTTTAATGCACTCATTTATTTCATTGCACTCATATTTTAACAGCCCATCGCTACTCGTATGTTTTGTGACAAGCACTTACACTCGTGCATATTTCAATAAAATATAAAAAATTTTCGACTCAAAAAATAAGCCAACAGAGAGCAGTCATCAGTTTTGTGAGTAAAATACCTTGCTACTCTGATGTTTCAAATTTCATTGCGTTTCAATTTCATTAAAACAATTGGAATTTTATAATTCACTCTACTCAACAAAACAACATGACTGCTGTGTTAACTCATATGTGTGTGTGTTTGTGATGTGTAGCTGCAGATTTTTGTTGTTGTTTTTATTTGATTGAAATGTACTCAAATGTGTAAAAATGTTTTGATTTTGCATTGATGAAATGTTGGCAAGGCTTGGTGTATTGCGCGCCTTATTAGTGTAGTTGCTGCCATATGTTGTTGTTGCTGTTGCTATTTTAATAAGAAAAAGGCTGTGTGCGAGAGAGATAACATGTAATAAACATGTTTATCATTCGCTTATTAATGCTAAACTGTTTTAATTTGGTGTTTTCAATATTTGTATTTGATCTCATATTTAATGCACTACAGCGTTGCGTGTTGGTGTGTTGTTCCTTATAAATTTTTGTTGTATTCCAAGTAATTTTTTTTCTTTGGTATGAGAATAAAAAATGATGGGCATATATTTATATTTTTAATTGTAATGTTACATGTTAGAAGTTTTTTAAGAAGATAATATTTTAAACTAAAGCTTTTTTCTTATATACATACATATATATTTCAATTGAACATCTCTTAAGTTTCATGAAACACAACGTCCTACTCCTCATTCCATATTCTTACTTCTTTTTTGTGTTCCATGACGAAAATAATATTTATGACAGTTTAACAAATTTTGCGCTCACTCTTTCTTGCACGCTGCCTGTCTAGATTGGCTGGTTGACATTTTGTCTCGCTTTGTTTATCAGATTCTTGTTTTTTTACTACCACTGCCAGTGTTAAAACTGGTGCTGCTGATGTTTGGTTATTTCTTCTTGTTAGTGTTGTTGTTGTTGTTGTTGTTGTGTTTTTGTTGAGCAAGTAAACAACTATGACAATATATGCTGCTGCTTAACTGTGTTGTGTTGTTTAGCATAAAATGAAATGAAATGAAATGAAATGGGAAATGTGCGCTGTTATGTGCTGTGAATTGCTGAGTGCTGCTGTTGGTTTTCCTTCTCCTTAAATGATTTTGTTAGTTTTATTTTTGTTTTTGTTTTTGTTTTTGTTTTTGTTTTCACTTTGCTTCCCATATTGCTGCTACAAATGCTGTGTGTTTTAGCAAAATTTAAAATTCTTTTTGTCAATTTGATTCCCGTCGCTTCGTTCTTTTTCGTCTTCGTTGTCATTATCGTCGTCAATTTTATC